GGGGGAGGGGGGGGGTCGTGGGATGGGTAAAGGAAGGGTAGGAGTGGGTCGCGGGTACGTGTCGGATGCCCTATCGACAGGCCGTGGGACGGCACCGTGCCGTGAGAGGGGGCACGCCAGGAGAACGGAAGACCGGAGGAAAACCGGGGGCACGGAACTCGGTGCACCCGAAACCGCGAGATATTCCAACCAAGTGTAGATGCATAACAGCAGTGATGGGCGGAAGGGAGCGCGGGCCGGCGTACCGTATATGACACAAGATAACACACCCCCTGGACCGATTTTTCAAAGCTCGATTACTCCACGACGAAGAGGATGCATAAACGAAACGATACATTGAAAAGCTCTCCACGAGACGATTTCAACGCCGCCGCTTTCGGCGCTGTGACTGTTCCTGCAGTTCAGAAATCGAGCTTCGAAAATCAGTCAAGGGGGTGTGTTATCCTGTGTCATATACGGTAACTTACTCCTACAGCGAGCATCGATCGCGGGTCGAGCGTGGGAGAGAAGACAGGCGGTCCGGGGCACCGTCAAGGAGTGACGGGAAGAATGGCCGTGTGGTGGTCGGCGGAGACTGACAGTGGCGGGGTCCACTGTTGGTGGCGGGGGTGATGGCTGGCTCGATCGCGGGAAAAAAACACGGTGTTTGGAGCTGGAAAAAACCGGCCCGAGAAAGGACACGTGTGCTCGCCGCCGTGGAGAACGCGACCGCAAAAAACAAACAACAACAAACGTCGAAAACCAGAAGCCGAGACGCTGTTCCCCCCCAGAAAAACAAAGACGCGGACGGCGATCTTGAGCGGATCTTCTGTCGTCAAGAGGGGCGGGGAAGCTGACAACCGTTGCTGCCCTACCTAGGCCCTCACTTTCACAAAATCAAATGAAGCAAGTACTGCTGTAGGCACGCACAATCATGCACGAAAGCTGCTGCCACGCGGGCAGGCAACCAGTGGAAGCCGATCGCCTGCCTAGCCCTACAGACCCGGTACGGTCCAACAAAAAAAACCCAAGTCGTGTGTGTACGCTTACCTTCACAGCTTACTCACCTTGCTTGTTGGAAGAATGTTCTTGTCTCACGATACCGGGAACATTTGGTCTCGGTTCCGCCCTCGAAAACAGGTACCACCACCACTACCATCATCATCGACGACCATGACGACGACCATCACGACCATCACGACCATCACGACCATTGACAAAACAATTTCCCCCCCGACGCATACATAATACGTCAAACGACCCACCAAGCCACGGCACGACAAAAGCGCCAGCATAATCAAACATCCAAGAACAGACCCACAACACAAATATATGGTAGAGACGATCTACACTACACCGTCCAGCCTTGGGGAAAGAGACAGCACACGACCAAAAACATTCCACGAATTCAATGTTTCGACGACCCAAAACACACACACACAACTTCCAACCCCTTCCGTAACTACCCAACCTACAAGTGAAACCCAAACCTGTCACAACCAACACACACACAAAAACAACAGACACTCACCGCAGCAGCCGTCGGTGCCGGCGTCTCTCCAGGGCCCAAGGGAGCAGTGGTGTAAGGAGCCAACGTGGGAGCCAACGTGTCCAAGCCTCCCCGAGCATCGGGCGTCGGGCTCGGGGTATCGAGGACTACTATCCCTCCGGTTCCTCCGTCGTCGTCGTCGTCTCCGGTCACGGTGGGAGCGGGCGTGCTATCCGTGCTTCCCTGGTCGAGGACGGAAAAGTCCTGCCGCGCGCGCGGGGTTAGGGTAGAGTTGGGCAGGGGGAGGGGGGGGGGGCGGGTAAGATGCTGCTGCGTGGGGGGAGGAAGATACTGTTGTCGCAGAAAAGTTGGCGGAGCTCACAGCGTGGGGAGGGGAAGGGAGTGGCAGGGAAAGGGTTGGCAGGGTGGGGGGTAGATGCTGTTGCAGATAAGTTGGTGGAGCTAGCAGGGTAAGGAAGGAAGGAAGCGATAAGGTTGGGTGGGGGATAGATACTGCTGACAAGTCGATGGAGCTGTAGGGTTGATGTAGGCAAGGAGGGCAGGGCAGGGCACACAAGAAGAAGGAGGGCAGGGCACACAAGTTGGCAAACGGTGGTGGGTAGGGCGAACTGGGTTGTTCACGCGCGCGCTGTAGGTGGTGGCCGACATGCGGCCAAGAAAATCAAGCAACTTCATGGCACAGCTGTCCGTTGGCTTCAGGTGTCGGCCTTTCCGCACACCATACCATACCATACCATACCATACCATACCATACCACACCGCACCACACCACAACACACGATGGAACCACCCATCGGTCTGCATTTGTCTTGTTCTTCTTGTCTATCTCCGTCCTAAGCTGTCTGTCCATCTCATTCTGTGTCTCATCTCATCTCTGGCATCTCTCAAACTGCGCGACAGGAACACATCCTGCCTCATCTCTCGTACGCGTGTCCTACCTCTCGTTTCCTTGAGCGATACTCCTGTCTCATGTCCCATGTCTCCTCCTGTCTCATCTCTACCTCTCACCGGCGCCATAGTAACATATTTCACCTTATCTCTCTCTGTGTGTGCGTTATCTCGTTCTCTCTGTGTGCGAGTCTTCAATATCTGTGTCTTGTATCTCACCGGCGCGACGGGAACACAGGCAGGGTCCTTGAACGAAACAGTCCCGCCCGACACCGCAAGCGGACAGTACTGCCCGCCGTCCAACTCCTGCTGAAGCCTTCGCATCTCCCCTTCTTGCCCCACCTCCTCCGCCCCCTCCGCTAGCGTCTCATCCTGTCGTGTTTCCTCCTCAAGCCTCCGACGCCTTCATCGCAACCAGAGAAAAAAAAAAGAGAGTGGGCGGGGGGGCGGGAGAGAGCGACGATCGAGATTGGTGATGAGAAAAAAATCATCTACTGCAGGCCAAGCTTTTGGATGAGCGGTGAGCGGGGGCGGGGGCAGAAAGATTCAAGATGATTCATATCCACGTGACACATGTTACGATGCTACGCATTGCGGTTGCGAGCATGAACGAGCCTAGGGCAGTCTGGTCGCATCGCGCGGAGGGACACGGGACTCTATCTCGCTCTTGTAGGTGATTTGGATGCCATCTCTCTGCCTCCCTGCCGATCTGTCTTGCCTGCCACTCTCGATCAAAGCGGCGACAGCGGTGGTTTGTCGTTGGGACAACGACCGCGACAAAAGAGACAACGACAAGGCATCATCTACAGTAGTATACAACCAACACCAGCAACATGAAAAAGAAAAAAAAACACCAACCGCAGCAGTAATGCAACAGCAAGGGGATACGATACCCTCATGTCCGAGTTCGACACACCTCGAGACAGCGACCTCAACGCCCGCCTCCTGCCACAGGATAATGGAAGGGGCCAGTTTCTGGTACCGCACCTGTAAGAGTCCAGTGCGACCAGCGGACGGGGGTGGGTTCGAACACATGGTTTGTACACAATTATCACGCTTTCTCCAAGTGCTCGCTCGCAAGAAAAACAATACTACAGGCAAATATACCCGTCAAACGTCAAACCAGCCAGCACAAGAAGAGAAGAGACGGGAAAAGAACGTTTTGTGGTTCGTCTGTTGCCCTCTCCTTGTCTATCTAAAGGCCGGCGTACGTAGATTTCACTCGCATGCTCCTCTGTTGGGGGCGTGACCTCACAGCAGACAACTCAAAAGTGTTGCCCGCTACAACAACCCAGGCAACGACGGCGACAGCGTACCACGTGCCGTGGAAGCGCGTCAAAACGGCAACATAGCAGTTGCGTGCGAACCGTTCACACCCACCTATGTCCTGCCGAAAAAAAAAACAAAAAACAGGAGCGCCATTGCAAAAAAAAAAAAGAACACTATAAGTACAAGAACAAAATACTATTAATAAACCAAAAACATCGCATCGAACAGACCAGGCGCCACAGAGCAACCAACCAACTTGGTGGGAAGGAAAAATGCGACAAAAAAAGAAAGAACAACATATTTTGTTTCCCCCCCCCCCCCCCCCCCCCCCCCCCCCCCCCCCCCCCCCCCCCCCCCCC